GAAATATGTCAGTATTTAACTTAAGGTTTCTTGCATCAGTATTCATAAATGATACTGGTTTGTAACTTTTTGTGTGTACTACTTGAACAAACACATACAGTAAAACCTTGGATTATGAGTAACTTGTTCTGCGAGTGTTCCAGAAGAGCGAACATTTCTGATAAATTTTAACTTAATAAATGAACGATGTCTTGCAATATGAGTGGTATGTGATGCCGAATGTCACATGATCACAACTGAGCTAATGGCTCTCTCTCCCTCTCTCTCTCTCTCTCACACCGCGGGATTGTGGGTGATCGTCCCCCATGCTCAGATGCTCAGATTCAGGCCCTGGTGTTTGGCAGAAATCAGTGATTTCAGTGATTTTTCAGAATGTTGGAAGGTGCCCACAACTGGCACTCGTGTATTTTTTGTCACATCAAAGCACCTATGGACAGTCCTTTGCTTTTCCATACAAGAGTAAGCTCAGGAATGCTTTGCTTCATTCTAGGTCAGGCTGTCTGCGGATATAGATCCTTTCCTCTGCAGCCTTATTGCCAGTTATATTAAATACAGTATATGACAAGAGCTTATTAATACTGTACTACAGTCAACAACTGTTACTGAAAGTTGTCCTACACAACAGTCCTCCTCTCTCTTATCTCCCTCACACCAGCCACGAAGGTTTTCAAAGATAAGTGCAGGTTAATTTATTTTTCTTTATATTTTGTATTTTCTTTATTATTTTGTATTACAGTAATCATTTTTTTAAGTTTATTCATTTATTTTGCGAGAGACAGAAATCATGGGTGGGGTAGGGGGAGGGAAAAAGAGGGAGAGAGTGAGAATTCCAAGCAGGCTCTGTCAGCATGGAGTCTGATGTGGGGATTGAACTCACGAACCATGAGATCATGACCTGAGTTGAAATCAAAGTCGGACACGTAACCAACTGAGCCACTCAGGTGCCCCTATTTATACTTTTTTATAGTGCCATTAACTCTTACTTCTTAAGCTTTTTCTTTTACTATCTAGTCTGTCCATTTTAAAAGGCAACCTTTGACTCATACCTATTACCTCTGACACAATTATTTTATTCTACTTTTTCTTTTCTCTCCCTTTCCATTTCCTTTCAGATGCAATCATACTCCTTTGACAGAAGACGTAATGTTTATATACCACCTTTCCATGTGTTCCCACCATTGTTTTAGTCTTAGCTATACAACAAAATACATGAAAGTTCATCACCTATCTCTTGTCAATGTCTCCCTTGTCACCTCTTGGTTGGACGAAGCTCACACTCTGCAGATTCCTCATGAAGAGCATATGTATACAGTTTTTGGAGTTCTTCCACTTCAAAGCTTATTTTTTCTAGCCTGCATACTTGGCTGCTTGGATTGGCACAATCTTTGTGCATCCTTTCTTTCCTCAAGTTTCTTCAAAATTTTATTCTTTTCTTGTCTTGCTTTGAACGATGACTTGAGAAGTCTGGTATCGGTCTTCTCTTGCCCTTGCAAATAATTTCATCCTTTTGACTCAATCACTGAGGATTTCTCTGTATCTTTAAAGTCTAATAAAACTTAATCTAAAGTCTAACAGTTTTCTTATCTTTAAAGTCTAGACTGTTAGACTCTAATGGGACCTTCCTTGCCTGTGTCCGAGTTCAACTCTTTCTCCCTGATTGTTTATTATTTACTTACTTATTTACTTATTTATCTCTGATTGTTCATACTTCTCCATCTCATCTCCACTCCCCCTTGGGTGGTTCTTCTGTTTTCCTTCAAAGCCCCTTATTAAATTTTCATGTAAACTTATTTTCCCTTGGGGACCTTTAATTTAGCCTTTTGATATGATGTCTTTCTTCTTTTTTCTGAGCATAAGCAACTGCCATTTCTTCCTGTTTGCCCATTTTGATTTAGGGTTTGAATTCCTGATCCATGGTGTTTTTTTCATACCTTCAAATGCTTGTCTAAGGACATTTAATTCAGTTTTGGGTGCTATACAACAGTTTTCTCATGGTTCACGGTGATTTCAGGGGTACGATTTTTTTTGGTCTAAATATTTTGAATCATGTTTTTTTTCCTTATAGTTTTGTATGGCAGTGGCCTGCTTTTTACCTTCCTGTTCATTTCACGGACAGGGTTCCTAAGTATACCTTCTTCTGTTAGTTTAGGAAAAAGCCGTTTCTTTAACGGAAGATGGTAGTGGTGGTAGAAGACAAGGCAGGGTTGGCATGTCTTGTTTGCCCTTTATTTCAGCACAACTCATCATTTTTCTCTCATTTTTTTCTTTTGCTTCTAAACCAAGTCTCCAGGTTTGGATGATTCCTTCCCCACAAGTAATGCTTCTTTGAGACTGTTACTTCTGACACCAATTACTTTCAAGTTCCTTTCCTGTAACCAGAGCTGTGAACTACCGAGATCCAGACTTATATTCAGTATTTCAGCAGATGGTATCCGAATTTCTCTAACAGTGATTTTTTTTTTCCTATGCTTCATCTAAGACTTCTACCACCTATATATTTTTGTTTCATGGAATCTCTAAAGCCTCCTATCCCCAACTCAGCACTCACAGGCTTAAAGCAGTAGAAAATAACACTACTGGCATTTGGTTTGCTTCTCTACCCAGAAGGTAGTTTGAAGATAATAGTATTCTTTCTCTCCTAGTAATGCTAATGGTTACGTGTGCTTTTCTTTGCACTACTCATTCATTTTATATTTTTTTGAGGATTTGTAAGGAACAATGGAATTAGGTGGCCTCCTTTAACCTCTAGATCTGGCAGTTTTCCACTGTTTGTTGTTGCTTTTTAATTTTTTAACATTTATTCATTTTTGAGAGATACAGAGAGACAGAGCGTGAATGGGGGAAGGGCAGAGAAATAGGGAGACACAGAATCTGAACCAGGATCCAAGCTCTGAGCTGTCAGCACAGAGCCCGACGTGGGGCTTGAACTCACCAACTGTGAGATCATGACCCGAGCCGATGTCAGACACTTAACCGACTGAGCCACCCAGGCACCGCTGTTGTTGTTGTTTTTAAGGAGTCCTTAGTCTTGAGTACTTAGCCTACTTGAAACCCTACAGTCTAATTCATGAAACAAGTCTGAAAAAAAGAAAGCTATATTCCTAGAGATGGGTACAGGTATATGCCAAAATTAAAGAAACACTAGAAGTAGACAGGAAGTCTGGAGCATCAACAGTGGGTAACTCATGAGAATTTCAAAGGACTCTGGAGGAAGCAAATGACAGAGACCAGAAATGGAAACAAAGACCAGAAAACAAAGACCGCATAAGAGGAGACAATAAGAAAATGAGACAAATATAATGAAGATAGAGACAAGATCTGGATAAAAAATGGTCACAAGAGGGGACAGGTATGACTAATATAACAAGAATGTTGTCTAGTAAGGAGAAAGCAGGATAATAATTTGAGGCAGACCAAAAATTTGGTGAAAAAAGCACAGGGGAAAAAAAAGCTCAGAGAAAAGGAACAGGAAAACAGAGAAGAAAGTGTAATGTCTTCACTGTAAATTCCATATTATTATCTGCTATGACCTGAAGCATATAAATCATTATGGATAAGCCAAATTGGGAGATGCCACTCATTCAAGTAAAAAGATTACCTTAAAGCGGGTACAAAAGCAATAATTTGAGCAACACTGAAAACAAACTGGTAGATGTGAGGAGAGCAGTTTGGTAAGAATAATAAAAAAATTTCAAAACTTCAAAATTGTAGTCTTAACAAAAATACACTTCCAAAAATTTATACTAAAGTTCCAATAAATATTAAAAAGATATGCATGAGAATCTTCATTCTAGCCTAGATGGTAATGGGAAAAAAGGGAAATCTAAATGTACACTAACATGGTTAAAGGTTATGTCATAATATAGGAGGAAGCCCATGATTAGTATGGAGTGAAAAAAAATCAAGGAACAGAGAAGTAATAGAGCACAGGGGTTAAGAATGCAAGTGGAGCCCAACTGATGAAGTTTACTACTGCTGTACCACTGACTATATCACTTTGAGAAAGTTAGTTACCTTATCTAAGCCTTAGTTACTTCATTTGTAAAAACCGATTTTTTTTTTAAGTTTATTTATTTCGAGAGAGTGTGAGACCACCTGTGCCAGTGGGGGGGGGGGGGGGGGGGGCAGGGAAGAGAGAAGAATCCTAAGCAAGCTCTGTGCTGTCAGCGCAGAGCCCAATGAGGGGCTCGATCCCACAAACCATGCATGAGATTATGATCTGAGCCGAAATCAAGAAAGAGTCAGATACGTAACCAACTGAGCCACCCAGGCACCTCTAAATGCAGATATTTCATACATCTATCTCACAGAGCTGCTATGAGAATTTAAAGAAAAAAAATCTATTTAAACACTTAGTACACAGTATTTGCATGTAACAAATACTTTAGATAAGAGCGCTACAATTATTATTAATTATATTGTGATCTCTCTCTCCTTTTAAGTTTATTTTGAGAGAGAGTGCACGTGCAAGCAGGGGAGGGGCAGAGAGAGAGGGAGAAAGAATCCCAAGCTGGCTCTGGGAGCTGTCAGCACAGAGGCAGAACCTGACACAGAGCTCGATCTCACGACCGTGATAATCATGACCTGAGCCAAAAGCAAGAGTTGGACGCTCAACCAACTGAGCCACCCAGGCGCCCCTATGATCTCCTTTTTATGTGTTTAATAAAACTCTAAGCATAAAGAGGCTGGGGAGCATATAAATAAAATTTAGTGCTGAAATATCTCAGGAGAAGGATGAAGTGCATGTGATAAGAAAATACACTTTTTTTGCCTTATGATTAGTATGTTATACGTATGAATTCTTTTCAAAGTTCAAAAACGGGAGATCAGATAATGGCCTGATATATCATTACTAATGGATATGATAAATCTTTAATAAGGCAGTATATATTTTAAAGCTGTAATTAATATGACTCCTTTCATTCTTTTTTACACCAAGCAATATATACTTTAGTTAATCACTTTACAAAAAGAAAGTAAAATACAAGGAATTTACTTACCCCTGCAGTTGCTGCTGTTGGTGAGAGGAAAGGGGCACTCTTGGTTTGTTCCAGCCAGCATAATCCTGATTACACCTCAGCTTTTTGACAGAAAGAGGAGCTGGCTGTGGAAGAAACCCCAAACTTCTTTTGGCAGAGGGAGTTTGGCTTGAAACATTAGTCCTATAAAAAAGAACAGACAATGAGGAAAGCAAAACAATTTTGAATATTATTTTCCCCCCTAGAAGATTCAGAGCAGTCAATGTCTGAAAAAAAAAAATCCTAAATTTGGGGAAATATCCATAATGATGATCACTTGGAAAAAATTCCACAAATGTAAATTAGCGAGTCTGTCAATAGCTGAAGAAGCCTGTGACACTGTACCTACTTAACCTATAATCAAAATAATCCAAGTTAATGGCTTGAAAAAACTATAATACAGTTTTACTTTACTATTTACTTTTATTCACTTAATAGATATATTAGTTTACCCAGTCTTGAAAACATTTAGGCAGTTAACTTTTTCCACTACTGCAAATAATGACACAACAAATATTCTTACCCAGTTTCCTGGAGAACTTCCTTTAGTTTATATGCTTAGAAGCGAAAATGTTAGGAATAAATATTTTCAATTTTAATTTTTAGTCTTCTGAAATCTTGTCACTGTTTTCCCAAAAGGCTGTACCAATTTCTATTTTCACTAATAGTGAATTTCTATTTCTTCACATGGTCTCCGTCACATTAACGAGTGAAACATGATCTCATCGTTATTTTGCACATCTTTCTGATTACTACTGAGGTTGAACGTATTTTTATAATTGTTCTTCTCTGAACTGCTTTTGCGTACCCTTTGTTTTATACGGGGTTCTTAATGATTTGCAGTTTTTTAAATATTCCACATTCTAATTCTTTTTTTTTTTTAATTTTTTTTAACGTTTATTTATTTTTGAGACAGAGAGAGACAGAGCATGAACAGGGGAGGGTCAGAGAGAGGGAGACACAGAATCTGAAACAGGCTCCAGGCTCTGAGCTGTCAGCACAGAGCCCGATGCGGGGCTCAAACTCACAGACCACGAAATCATTACCTGAGCCGAAGTCAGCCGCTTCACCGACTGAGCCACCCAGGCGCCCCTCTAATTCTTTATTATATATTCTAAGTGTCAAACTTTGACGTAATCAAATTTATCAATCTTTTGTAGTTTCATATTTTTTTCTTTCATAACTGAGTTTTTATTGGTTGTTCTGAGGATCAGTACAGACACTTCAATTTGTATACAATTCTTAATGTATATACCAAAAGTCTAAAAAATCATGTAGCTGTGATTCTTTTCTAAAAGTTATTCCAGTGACCTTCCAGCTTAAAATTTGGAGGCAAATTTCCCTTAACAGTATATCAAGCACCAATATCTTCAAATGTTGATATGCTGTTACATTAAGTCCTATTAACTCACAATATCATATACACTACATACTTAAATTTTGAATCCTATAAAAGCTCATTAACAAAGTTACTAAGAAAACTAGACTACTATGACCAAGAAGTTACAGAGTACATAATTCTGACAGGGAGAGCCAAGATCAAGGAGTGGTTTTCTTTAGGAAGTAATTCTACCAAAGACAACATGGGAATAAAAGTAATTTTAAAATGTTCAAGCAGTGCCTGGATGGCTCAGTCGATTAAGTGTCCAACTTCAGTTCAGGTCATGATCTTGCGGTTCCTGAGTTTGAGCCCCGCGTCGGGCTCTGTGCTGACAGCTCAGAGCCTGGAGCCTGCTTCAGATTCTGTGTTTCCCTCTGTCTCCCTGCCCCTCCCCTGCTCGCACTCTGTCTCCCTCTCTCTCTCAAAAATAAATGTTTTAAAAAAAAAATTAAATAAATAAATAAAATGGTCAAGACAGGGGTGCCTGGGTGGCTCAGCTGGTTAAGGGACCAACTCTTGATTTTGGCTCAGGTCATGATCTCACGGTTTGTGAGATTGAGTCCCACATCAGGCTCTGCACTGAGAGCATTGGAGCCTGCTTAGGATTCCCTCTCTCCCGCTCTCTCTCTCTCTCTGCCCCTCCCCTATTCGCACACTCTCATTCTCTCTCTCAAAATAAACATTAAAAAAAACCGTTCAAGATCTATTAAAGGCATATCTGACTCCAAACTGCTATTTAGTATGCTTGGTATTATAGTATATAAAAACTACCCCACCTATGGAATGTTAAACTGACACCCAAGACAATCAAAGCCTCTCAAATTTAATATCCTATTATTTTCTGGTTGTACCAAAAAATAAACAACCAGCAAATTATTTTACCTCTTAGAAAAAAGCATTTATACTTTAAAAATGGGATGAGATGGGATTCCCTCCTTCTTAAAAATATTTCCAGAGGTACTAAAAAACTTACATTTACAAAACAGTTGAAAAATATATTCCTCTGGATTGTACAAGAAGGGAGACAGGGACCACTGATAAGACATGGTAATGATACTAATACAGACTTGGCTTCTTTCTCTCCTGCTTCATCAGAGGCTGGACTCTCATTTTTATTTTCTCCATTTTCTGCAGGTAGGTCTTTGTTTCTTGGTTAGCCACTTCAGCCTGTTTTCCCTTTGCTGCACTTTTTTGTCTGAAGACTCATCCTTTCCTCCCTCTTTGGCTTCATTTCCACTTTTGCAGGAGCAGGTTTCTCCTCCTTTGCTGCCCCCAGTGTGAAGCTGACCTTCCTCTGGGTATCATGGCAGTGGGCCATGGCACACTGAGAGCCTTCGTGAAGCTGGGCTGCCTGGCCACTGTGCTATTAATTTTATAAGTCTATAATTTAAGGTCACAGAAATATTTTCTATTATTTTCTCTGAAAAGTCTTAACTCTTATTTTCTTCCTATTTAGGTCTTTAATCTGCCTAGACTTTTTTTTTTTTTTTTTTTTTTTTTTTTTTTTTTAAGGATTTTAAGTAATCTCTACACCCAATGTGGGACTTTAACTCACAAACTCCAAGATCAAGGGTCACGTGCTCTACTGACTGAGCCAGCAAGGTGCACCTACCCTAAAATCTATCATTACCTTTCCATCAGTTGTATCTCTTACGATGCATTCCTAAACACTGTAGCTTGAATAATGCAAGGTGTATTTGTTTCCATCCTTTGGCTCTCAACCTTTTTTCATCTTTATGTTGTAGTTGTTTCTTTTAAATAGTATAAAGATTATTTTTCTTCCTTTAATATCCAGTCTTTTTTAACAACAGTTAAAACAGTTTGTATTTATATTTAATGTCATGACTGATTCAAACTAATAACTTTTAATTTCCATATGCTAATTCTATCACCTGTGTCAGTATTTATTAACTTTTCTCCTCCATAAAGGCTGAATTTTCCTGCTTTTTTGTATGCCTAGTAAGTTTTCTTTGATGCCAGACACTGAGAATTTTTTAAGAGAGAAAGAGCATGTGCGAGTGGGGTAAGCGGGGCTTGGTAGGGAGAGAGGGAGAGACTCTTAAGGAGGCTCTGTGCCCAGTGCAGAGCCCAATGTGGGGCTCAATCTCACGACCCTGAGATCATGACCCAAGCCAAAATCAAGAATCAGAATGTCACCCAGGCGCCCCTGGATATTTTTGGTTTTTATAAACATTCTTGAATTTTGCTCTGGGATGTAATTAGGTTACCTGGAAACAGTAAGATCTTTTTGGGTCTTGTTTTTAAGGTTTGTTATGTGGGAACAGAGCAGCAATTAGTCCAGGGATGGTTTTCCTCACAAATGAGGCAAGGCCTTTCTTAGCATGCACACGGCTGCTATCAGAAACAGGAACTACCTCTAACTTTAGGTGAACTCCAAGTATTATTCCCTTAGATGCTTGGGGTGATTCTTTTCTAGGCCTTGGCTAGTTTCCTCACCTGAAAAATTGATCAGCAGTCAACTGAATACTCAAGGGGAACCCTCTGCAGATCTCTGCAATTCTTTCTCTGTGCAGCTATCCTCTCTGCTCGTCTGCTCTGTGAATTCCAGATGTCTTGACCTCCCAGGACTCCTAGCTTCATTTCCTCAACTCAGGAAGAGCACAGGGCTCTGACTGGTTCCCCTCCTTGTGTGGCAGCCTGAGAACTTTCTCCACGAAGCAAGGTAGGGCAGTTATAAGGCTAACTTCATTTGTTTCCCAACTTTCATGGATCACTGTCTTTCACTGCCTCCTGTCCAATGTCATGTCCATACTGTTTCATGTATTTTGCCCAGGTTCTTAGTTGTTTCATGACAGAAGGCAAATCTGGTCCCTATAACTCCATCTTGGCCAGAAGCAGACGTCATCTTTAACTTTTTATTATGTATAACTTAAGTTCTCAAAAGGAACTTAAAATGTTTTAATTTCCCTATATTCTTCCCCACTCTATTTCTCTTTAGTGTCTAAAATTTTATTAATTTTTTGCTTTCAATCCTATTGTCGCCTCATTTTATAAAAACTACCGAACTGTATTTAGATGTACAGAATAACCCTGAAAGAATATTAGCAATAGTAGTTGCCTCTGGAAAGATAAAATAAACAACTAGGAATTAGAAAAGAAAGGGAGATTTCCTTTTCACTGTTTGCACCCTGTAACTTCTGGAGTTTCTACCATATACATTTAGTATACAAATGAGTAAATTGTAAACGTATTTAGATTTTTAAATATGGTTTTATAATTTTTTGCTCAGGTATTTATTTTCACTCCTTCAATTTGCTTCTTGCTGAATTGTCTCTGTATATCTAAAAACAGCATTACTTGTCTGCATTTTTTTTTAATGTTTTTAAATTGTATTTATTTTGAGAGAGAATGCGAGTGTGCACAAGTGGGGGAGGGGCAGAGAGAAAGGTAGAGAGAATCCCAAGCAGGCTCTGCACTGTTAGTGCAGAGCCCAACACGGAGCTCGATCTCACAAACTGTGACATCATGACCTGAGGCAAAATCAAGAGTTGGGCTCTTAACCAGCCAAGCCACCCAGTTGCCCCATCTGCATTCTTCAATTATAATTTAGCTGGGTAGAGAATTCTTTGATGCTATTACTCCAGCGTCTTTTGTTTCTATTGTTACTAATGTCCATCTCCTTTCCTTTTATAAATGATGTAATTCCTTCAAGTAGCTTTTAAAATTTCATCTACAGTGTAGATTTTTTTTTTTTCAGTGTCTGTTGTTTGGCATTTGTTGAAGCTTTTCAACGTGTGGACTTTCATCACTTTCATCCATTCTTCTTTGGCAAATTCCTTGTCTTTATTTTCCTCAGTCTTTTTTTCTCCAAAATGCTACTGAGATGTGGAGGATAGACCAATGGAGACCAACATAAGTCTCTTCATTTGATTTACATTTACAACCTTCTTTCTGTGCTGCATTCCACAATCCCACATTCTTGACATGTTTAATAGCTGCCTCACTGTGGGCCTTTAATCTGCATGGGACTTTATGTCAGAGATTCAGAATTCTTGCCCCAGTGTAGGCAACACTAAAACAGACACCAATCACTAAAATTCCCATTTCTGTGTATTTGATCTCTGCTCAGAGAGCATCAGGCAAGCAGCACATTTTTGGTTCCAAACCCAAGTAGTGCTACAAAAGTGTTTTGCCTTGGTTTATTAGCACAGAAAGCAGTTCTAGATATGTAGCTTCATATAACAAACCAAGTTCTGGCCTGGAATTATGTTCAATTCCCAATCCCATGCTGGTTTTGAAGACCCAGACCTAAATACTTGACTCTAATCTGTGTTTTCCATGTGCCCGTGGCTTCAGCCTATTTACTCAGTATTAGTTTTTTTCTCAATGATTTGGAAATTTTCACCTCATCGTTGAATTGCAGCTTTGCCTTAAAAATATTTTTTCCTTCAGTCATTCCTATGTGTAGTAAATATACACATTCTATTATCTTGAGAAGAAACTTGTACTATAATTAATTTAGGATTTTTAAAAACTTGGATTCTTTTAGGATTCTTCTAATAAGCAAAAATATGTCTCTCTTTTAAATTCAAATAACTTAGTTATTACTGTAGTTATAAAGTGTCTGAAATAACCACCCAAGGCTGAATATACCTAAAGATACAGGACCAAATTCTTTACTTCACCTCATTTTATCAAATAATCAAAAATATTTTTTACCACTTTGAATTAAATTCTACTAAAAAAAACCAAAATGTCACTTAATAGGTCATTATAACATATCTATTATATACCACCATTACCCACTACCCTTACCTTTTACATTTACCACTGCCCCTCCAGGCTACATTCCAAGATAGTGCCTTCTTGACAAGCACTTACCAGTTGTCTAATATATTTATGTTCAGTAAATCTCAAAAAAAAAAAAAAATTCAATCTGTATAGGATCAGCAATTAAGTTTCTGACTAGTCTTTCCCAGTAAAAAATACTAACGTGCAACTTGTTTTTTTAAAGAAAATGTCCTAACTTTTGGTAGTAGCTTAATACACAGGCAACGAAGGCAATTTAAAAACGTATGAGGAGGCACCTGGGTGACTCAGCTGATTCAGTGTCCGACTCTTGATTTCACCTGAGGTCATGATCTCACTGCTCACTAGTGAATTCGAGCCCCCTGTCAGGCTCTGCCTCTGTGCTGACAGCACAGAGCCTGCTTAGGATTCTCTCTCCCTCTCTCTGCCCCTCCCCCTGCGTGTGTGCTCCCTCTTTCATAAATAAATAAATAAGTAAAACGCCTCAGGAGAGATCTTGATATGTTCATCACTAGGGATGATGGAAAATACACTGGTCAAGAATCTGATCACATAGTCAGTCACCACCTGTGGCCTCAGCACATTTATTCATTTGTTGAAAACATTAAAAAAAAAAAGCATCTGAAAACTAAAACATTTCCAGCAGTTTTTAAAATAATTTTTTTTTAATTTATTTATTTTGAGAGAGAGACAGAGAGAGAGTACGCGAATGCACACACATGCATGAGAGGGAGAGAGAACCCAAGCAGGCTCCATGCGGTCAGCACAAAGTCTGATGTGGGGCTGGAGCTCATCAACCATGAGATCATGACCCGAGCCGAAATCAAGAGTCAGATGCTCAACCAACTGAGCCACACAGGCGCCCCTCCAGAATACTTTCTAACTAAAATATCGTGAGTCATGATTCTCAGCAATTTTGTTATTTTAAATTAGGATATTCACTTAAGACCTCACAGCCTAAACCATCATTCAATATTCTGAAAATGAGAGCTCTTCAAGTTCTTCATGAAGCATAGAGCCAACGCATACCTGTCTAGGTTAGTGCTACCAGAAGAGTAGTCCTTGGATCCAGCTCTGCTGCCATAAAACGATGATGACTGTAAAGGTAAAAGCCCTAAAAAAATGAAAAAAACAGGGAAATGTTAATTCCTAAATCAGCCAAATTCATTTAATAATAAAATTACGCATTAGGCCTGTTTATATTTAACTGTTTCTCCCCCTTTCTTTGCATCAAATATATATGCATGTTAAAAGATCAAACACTGCAGAAAGGTTATAATACCAAGAATTCTCTCCTGCCCTAAAATTTTGCCTCTAATTTGACCAGTTTTAAAACTTAGTTTTCCTCATTTCCTTCATAATGCTAGATGTTTCTACTATTTCTTGCTTTATTCATTATAAGTAATATCTCCCTGTTATGAAAAATTAGCAATTTCTCCTTTACATCACTCGTTCTTGTTCTCTTCTCTCCAAGTATTGGTTGTGTTAACTTTACTTTTACTGATTAACTTTGTAACTTTAACACACTTAAAACTTCTACATTTTGTTCCATGAACCTTATCACTCGACTACTTCATTCTTTCTCTCCTCCTCTTCCCCATCAACTCTTCTAAGACACACCTTAACTTCAACATTGTCAAGGTTTATTACATCTTTAAGCATTGTTTCCTAACTATAGGTTGATTATAAAAGCTGAAAACCAGTAAGTGGATGTTACAAAATATATTATTATTTCAGAGGTAAGAATTATATTGGAGATACTTCTTTCTGTAGGAGTCCAATGTCATAACCCTGAACCACTAAAAAAAAAGAACATTCCTGAAGTCCTGATCAAATGAATTCTCTTAAACTCAACACCAGGCCATATTTTAGCTTGCTTCAATTTAATTTCCAGTTGACATAATATTCAAATCAATACCACATAGCTGATTCTCTAAGGAGTTGAGAGGATCAGAGAGATGTTAAATGTGGGAAACACCGACAACAATTCGTGGACAGCGTAACTTTTAGTTTTTGTAAAATGGGGTACAAGCTGAGCTTAAACAACTGCTTCAGGCAATAATTCCAAGACTTTCTGGAACTTGTAACAAGCAGGAACACTGATAAAATTCAGTTTCAACCACTTTAACTCCTTGAATTCATTCTATGGTTCAGGTACTTTGACAACGAAAAAGCTTAACTGTAGGCAGTGAAATAGGGAAGAAGGTAAAGGTTAGAGTCTTTCTTAAAAGAATAAAAATCCCTTATATCTAATACTTTCGTCAAGTACTGGATACAAATTGGCACCTGATAACTAGCACTGAATCATACATCGAATAATGTAGAGATATGTCCCAGTTTAGGTTTTTATTTCTAGTATAATACAGTATGTGATATAATAAATTAGAATTTTATATGAAGACCAAATACTTACCTGATGTTCTATTCTCTTCCGACTGTTTCAAACTCAGCTGCTTCTCTCTACTGCTGGTTAAATACTTTCTGGAGGGATCTGTCATAGCCTTGTTGTTCCTACAGTTAATAATTTAATTCAGTGTGTGTATATATATATCTATATCTATATCTATATCCATATAGATATCCATATAAACACATAGTTCTTAATTTTAAATACTTATCATTTCAGAAAATTTACATTTCACACACAGGTCAAAATTTCTTAAGTGGCATTTCCCCCATCTATTATTCCCAAATACCTAAACCTTTCCAGTGGAGTGGGTTCAGTTGGAGATATGCTCATGCTTTGATACAAAGTACTAATTTTAGGAGATCCATCATGCACAAAGCCTGTAGCACATAACGCAGATGGCTCTACCCAGATTCCCTCTGACCCGGTTTTTTTGTCTTCTCTTCCACACCAATTTAGGTTATGTTTTTGACAGCCAGTACCTAGGGTTCTTTTTCACAGGTTAACCTCAAGCTACTAGAGATAATTTGCTTGCACTTTGAGAGACACAAGTAAGGTCAAGAAGCCAAGCTCCCTTGCTTGGATGAGAGAACAACTTTAAGGTGAATTTTATGTAACAGGTTTTCTCTCTGGAATTAGGATGAAGCCTAACCTCTGCTTGATTTTTGTATGAGACCACACTCAAGCTTCATTTCCTGCACTACTGACTTGCTTTCCCTACTCCCCTCCTGGTATCCCTTGGGAGTACTTTCTTAATAAATAACTTGAGCACAAATCTCCATTTCAGCACCTGCTTCTGGAGAACTTTATCAACAACAGCTAGTTCTAGAAATGGGCCTAGGAAACACACCTCTAAGGCCAAGATTCTGGAACTGGACCACTTGTTTGGCAATGGCAACAGAAATCCCACTGCTGGTGATAATACCTCTGGGACCCTATCAACTATAATTATTCAGATTTTCATTTGTAGTGAATTGGGATGGGATAAACTAGAAAAGAATACGGCCCATGCAATATCTCTAGCATTTGAGAAATATGGTAGATTACACAATGGATCTTACTGGGGTTATAGAAACATTCTAAAACTAGATTAAGGTGATGGTTGCACAACTCAATACAATCACCCAAAATTACTGAATTGCACATTTAAAATAAGTAAATTTTAGAATATGCAAATTGTATTTCAATACAGTTTTTAAAAATGTGTCCCAAATCATTCCTTTCCTTGTACCCAAATCCCCCATCAAGAAATGCAGTCTATTTTCCCATGCCTTAATGGGGCTGGCTTTGTGATTTCCTTTTCCTAAAAGAATGCAACAGACACAACAGTGTATAAGTCCTAAAGCTAAAGGCACCTTGCAAATTTACACTCACTCTCTTGGAATCCTGACACTGCTATGTGAATAACTCCAGACTAACTTGCTAGATGATGAAAGACACATGGCCCAATCACCCTCTTTACCCAACCAGTACGAAGCCAATGGCAATCATGAGTGAGGCCTTTCTGGACCAACTAACCACTAACTGCCTCAGCAAATGACCATGGATGCATGAGAAAATGAGAGTACCCAGAGACAATCGGCCAATTCTGGCCCAGATAAAGTAGAATCACTTAAGTCACCATCAACTCACAGGCAATAATAGTTACTATTTTAAGTCACTAAGTTTTGGAGTGGTTTGCTATATAGCAACAGATAACTGATCCAAGTGATATGGAATAGTAATCATAAAGACTATGGAACTGGTTGGCTGTTGCTATGAGTACTGATCTGCTCAAGAGAAAAAACAATAGAGTCAGTTGAGCCACTGAGCCAATTACCAACTTAAGACACCATGTAGAATTGCTCACCCAAAGAGAATTGCAGCCTGGGTCTTTAGGATTTGAGAGCAAGACCATGCTGTCTGCAGCAAAAAAAGTATACATTACTTATAAAGTATCACACACTACTCCTGGCATGTTACTAATGCCTGGAAGAGACCCTTGAAGTCATCAGACCAGAAAGTTACAGCAGCAATCCATCATAAAGTGGAAGTGATTTATCTAGGATGAGTTCTAAGCAAGCAGGAATAGATAAGAGGAATAGGCTTATGAGTACTCTCTATAACCAACCTGGCCTGATTCACAGACAGATCATCTGCTATCTTGGTACAGGATAAAAATGAACTGTTGCTGCACTATAGACCCATTAGGGTACTGCCCAAAAATAGAGTGGTGAGAGGAAATCCTCCATGGTGCAGAGTTTGAGAGGCACACTTCTTTATCCACTGTGTGTGGAAAAAAAAGTGGGCCATGATTTCCGGGACAGCAGCAAATAGTTTGGATGGATAGTAAGAAGCCAGCAAGTAGCAAGCCTGGAAGATCAGGGAGAATGATTTATGGAAGAAGTATATGAACAGCCATACAGAAGTGTGTACAAACAGTAGGGATCTGTTTATTAATGCACACCAGAGAGCTCCACTAAAGAGACATTAAACAATCAAGTCCTGGTTCCCAGAAGGGTAACTTTTTCAACCGTGGGGACAGTAAGAGTCCCGTTTAATCTAAAGCTATGGTTGCTACTCATCTTGGGCTCCTCATGTTGGCAGAGGAACAGGCAAAGAAAGGAACTGCTATACTAACAGGGGTAACTGACTTTGGTTTTGTTTTGTTTTGTTTTTTGAGAGGGAGAGTGCACGAGAGCGGGTACACACATGAATGAACGGGGGAGGGGCAGAGAGAGGGAGAGAGAATCTCAAGCTAGCTTCACACTATCAGTGCAGAGCCCGATGTGGGGCTCAAACTCATCAACGGTGAGATCACGACCTGAGCTGAAATCAAGAGTCTGACGCTTAACCGACTGAGTCACCCAAGTGCCCCGACTTTGATTACTATAAGGAGGCAGGGTTGATACTATACAATGAGGACATGAAGAATATCTTTGGAATAAAGGGGATTTACTAGGGAATTTCTTAATGCTGTCACGTTCAGTTTTAACTACGAATGGGCAATTTTAGCACCCATGGCCTGCACAAGTACATAGTGACCAGGGGCTCATCCCCATAGGGATGAGGACTTTAGTCATACCACTAGGCAAATCACCAAGACCAGCAGAAGTATTAGTGGAGAATGCAGCAAGTCTAGAATGGATAGCAGAAGAAAAAGATGACAATACCAGTTATAGCCTCAAGGCTATTTATAGCAGTAAGGACAAATAGCAGCTCGTCCCTCTAACCCTCTTTTGTAAGATTTTCACCCAGAAATTGAGTAGCATCAATGTGAAGAATCTGTGATACCATGGAATGAACTTAATAGTTCTGCTCCATCAGAGCCCCTCAGATCCCTTTTTATACTTTTCACACATCCCAGTTGTGTGTTTTCAACAGCCAGCACCTGCAGTTCTTTTTCAGAGAACTGCCTTTGGGCTACTTAAAATATTTTGCCCATCGGGGCAGAGCCACAGAACCAAAGGCTGTGCAGTATGGGAACATGAAAGCCCATCTTCCTTGCTTCAAGTTGGAACAGGCCCAGAGACCCTGCTGGATCAAGATAAAGTCTACTCTCTGTGGGACTTTTTGCTAAGATCACACCCCTGGGTGGCTTCCTCTCCTTCCCTGTCCTAGTTCCTCACTCTGGTCTGTCCTATAAGCACCTTCTTAACAAGTCATTTATACAAGTGTAGTAACTTAGAGTCTTCTAGGAAACCCAAACTTCATACAATCTGACTGTGATGTGTTTAAAAGTATTATTAGCCCAAAACAAAGATCAGAAATTTAGGGCTCACTACATAGAATTCTAAGTAGAAAAAGTGAGATGTCCCACAAGTATGGTGAATATGGTGAACTGACATGCAACAGTGCATTAAAACCACCTTTTGGCGGGGCGCCTAGGTGGCGCAGTCGGTTAAGCGTCCGACTTCAGCCAGGTCACGATCTCACGGTCCGTGAGTTCGAGCCCCGCGTCAGGCTCTGGGCTGATGGCTCGGAGCCTGGAGCCTGTTTCCGATTCTATGTCTCCCTCTCTCTCTGCCCCTCCCCCGTTCAGGCTCTGTCTCTCTCTGTCCCAAAAAAAAATAAAATAAAACGTTGGAAAAAAAAAAAAACCACCTTTTGGTGTATCTGTCCTGTAAAAGCCAAAAAACAAAAAAACTACATTTCCTAGTTAGTGTTCAGGATGGGAATTAAGATAAATTACATTGTGTGAGATCTGAAAAGTGGAAGTAAGGCAGAGGTAATGTGTTCTGCTCCTTGTGATGACAAACATCATTTTAGAGGCATCTGGTTTTTCTGTAGAGATTTCTAATCTTGGCAATGGCAGCATGGTCCCAGAGGTGACAGCTTCCAATGCAGCTATTAGCTTCAGCAACAACCAGGGGCATCTTTGGTGACCTGATCCGGGGCATAGATCTTAAAATCATTCTGAAAGCTTAACCTAAAGCCTATCTTTTCAGCTTTCCTAACGATTCCGTAAGTCTGTTAATACTCTCTGAAGGCAAATACCTTTGTGTATATAAACTAGCTGAAATGAATTTTGTTCCCTACAACTAGACACTGAATACACAAATTTTGTTACTAGAAGTGTGGTACTACCCTAACAAACCTAAAATATATAGCACTAGCTACAGTTGGAAGGTGGAGGGTCAGGACACAGATATTACAGACTGGAAAGCTGGTGAGTACTACTGCTGCATCTCAGCAAAATGTTCATAAAACTGTTACTGTAATGTCTTGCGTATCAAACCTATAACTCTAAGTGAAAAGACTGAGACGATAAGAATACTGGTCTGTGTTTCAGCATGGTCCTATTCAAGACAGGTTAAACTGGGCAAGGGGCTAGCCAGCTTACAATCAGGGATGAAAAGGAATATAGCCCTCTGTGCCAATGGCCTAGAATTGAAATCGTCTAGTAATTTGAGACCATATGGAACCAAAAAAATCCAATTGTGTTTGATTGTCAAACTGAGGCAATGACAGAAGGTTAACTAAGGAAATAAATTTATGAAAAAAAACAACTTGATGTTACTATTAGGGGAAACTGGGTGAAGGGTATACAGGAACATTCTATATTGCTTTTGCAACTTTTCTGTAAATCTAAAATTATTTCAAAACTTAAAAAAAAATTTTTTTTAATGTTTTATTTATTTTTGAGAGAGAAAGAGAGTAAGTTGAGCAGGGCAGGGACAAAGACAGAGAGGGAGACACAGAATCTGAAGCAGGCTCCAGGCTCTGAGTTGTCAGCACAGAGCCAGACACGGGGCTCGAACCCACGAACTGTGACATCATGACCTGAGCCAAAGTCGGACACTTAACCGACTGAGCCACCCAGGTGCCCCTTCACTTTTTTTTTTTTTTTTAATGTTTATTTATTTTTGAGAGAGGGAGAGAGAGGCAGGACAGGGGCAGAGAGAGGGAGACACAGAATCTGAAGCAGGCAGGCTCCAGGCTCTGAGCTGTCAGCACAGAGGCCGACGCGGGGCTTGACCCCATGAACCACGAGATCATGACCTGAGCCAAAGTCGAATGCTTAACTGACTGAGCCACCCAGGCACCCCACAACTCCTGATTTCAGCTCAGGTCATGATCTCATGGTTCATGGATTTGAGTCCCACGCTGGACTCTGTGCTGCTGATGTGAGCCTATTTGGGATTCTCTCTCTGTCCCTCCCTTCCTTGAGGATGCTCTCTCTCTAATAAACATTAAAAAACAACAACACCAAAACCAAACAACAAAAATATTGGCCCAAATTCTTTCTCAAGTCTATAAAATCCTTCTTGTTCTATATTTAAATAAACTTTTGGACTTCTAAAACTCCTAGATTTCTGGACACTTCTACACTTGATCTTCACCAAAAGGCTGAAAAGCAATGATTTCTGGATACTTCTAACTCCCAGAACTTTTATCAGCATGAAGCAGGCTACAAAAGCTGCACAGCCCCAAGAAAGAACACAGTCTTCAAAACCCATTTCAGCTATGGCCTTGAAAGATAAAAGACAAAGGAAATCTATTAGGGGGCAAAATCAGGAGTCAAATGAAGTACAATGAGGGAGTTTCTCCCAAAGGACAGAACACAGACTGCTTGCTACGTGGGCTAAACTGCCTTCACTGTCTTCATACCTTCAGCCTACCAAGATTTTATTGCTGCTGTAGAGCAGTGACTCCTTCAGTTTCCTATTCTTGTCTTTTCTAAATAGAAATTTTTATTGTGGTTATAACTATGCCAGCAATGTATGATAATACGTGTATAGACTTGGGAGTGGGGAATACAGGTTAACTTGCCTTTTACTTTTTTAGGTATCAGACCATGAGGCACATGGTCCAAGGCACACTTAGACATTATGGAGAGAAATGCACATCACCCAGAGATCCTGGGCTCTGAACTGGATACAATGACTAAATGTATGTGAAGAATGATGAATAGGTATATTTCTATGGCTAGAGAGGTAAACTACAGCAGACTATTAACTGTCCCCAAATAATCATTGTATACTTCTGCCATAATAGTATAATTTGGGCTAGGCTAAGCATATTTCCCAGAGTTCCTCATAATTTGGTATAACCATATGACCAAATTCCGGCCAATGTGCACAGAAGTGGTGTGTGCAATTTCCGGCCTAAAGGAAAGCAGTATGCCCTCCCTTTGTTCCTTTCTCCATTCCCACCAACAGGCATGCAGACATGAGAGTGGAGGCTGAAGCATCTATCTTGGTTCACAAAAAGAAAGCTATTTATTAAGAATTGTAGACCAAGAAAATAGAAGGAAGCTGAGTCTATGGTGATTGTAGTTTCAGATGCCACACCAGTCCTATATCACCTACCCAGTTTTCCATCTGTTATAGCAACAGAACAAAGACCCCAATAAATATATAAAGTTTCTTTAGCTTTTTCTCAACTCTCTTCTGTTGACCCTTGACCTTGAGTATCAGTTAATTGATTATCAACTGATTTCTGTCAAGGTATTAATTGGCCATTTGCAATGATGTGGACGGAGCTAGACACTATTACGCTAAGCAAAATAAGTCAAAGAAAGACAAATACCATATGATTTTACTTGTATGTGGAATTTAAGAAACAAAACAAATGATCTGGGGGAAAAAAAAGAAAACAAAAAACAAACATTAAAAAAAAATTTTTTTTTTAATGTTTATTTTTGAGACAGAGACAGAGTGTGAGTGGGGGAGGGGCAGAGAGAGAGAGAAAGACACAGAATCTGAAGAGGCTCCAGGCTCTGAGCCATCAGCACAGAGCCCGACGCGGGGCTCGAACTCACAAACTGCAAGATCATGACCTGAGCCAAAGTCGGACACTTAACCAACTGAGCCACCCAGGCGCCCATAAAAAACAAACTCTTAACTATAGAGAACAAACTGATGGTTACCAGAGGAGAGGTAGGTGGATGGATTAACCAGGTGATAGGGATTAAGGAGTGCACTTGTGATAAGCGCCTGGTGTTGTATTGCTAAATTGTACACCTGAAACTGACATTACACTGTATGTTACCTGGCTGGAATTAAAATAAAAACTAAAAAAAGGCACTAATTCAAGTATTTCATAATTGTGTAATAACTATTCTCCCCCAAACAACAAAAAATAAACAAAAACCCTCCATGATGAGCAAGAGACTGTGAGCTGGTGACTGTCCTGTTGCAGGTCTATTCTCTTTTGTTGAAGCCAAAAAATACCTCTAAAAAACTGAAGCTCCTTGCCTAGACCCTATGTCAGGTTCACATCCTTTTACTCCCAGGCTAACTTTTCACATGAATAGGATAAAAAAAAAAAAAAAAAAAAAAAAAAAAAAAAAAAAAAAAAAAAAAAAAAATCACAGATAAAGGGAAGGAAAGAATTTACACCAAAAAAAGCAGCCAACAAGAAACATCTGTTTAGAGTTCTTCAATCCTATTCTTCCTCTAAGTATTGCAGATAATAAAAAAGGCTAGGATGGGAGAAGGGCAATGATCAAAGCAACAGCAATGGCCAAATACTCTCTCTATGGAGTCTATAATCTACTGTCACTAAAATACTTTAAATTCTGTTCTATCTTTAGAATTCTCATAAACTGAACACCTCTCCCCCAATCTTCCTTAGTGACCGTAATTACCAATATATAAGAAACACTGATCTAGTGCCTTAAGTGTTCTTTAAGCAACTTACGATGATGAATCATTTTCCTTAGGGTAATCTTCGTTCAACTCTGAGCCAGATGATAGCATTCTTTTCCTCTTTTCAGTCCTGTAGAGGACAAAGAAAAAAAGTTATTTAAAAAAGTCATAATTCATACCATTAAGAAGTATAAACCAACATATTCAAGGACAGGAACTATGACTACTACTGCTTAATTCTCTAAACCACATTTTAATTAATATACTGTACATCTGCATGCTCAGTATGTGTCACTGATGTAAATCATAAAAAGCCAACACTAATTACCTACTAAAATATATGCTCTATATGTTCTTTTTCTAACATATTTTACTCACTGGACAATCTCTTTTTTCTCAAAGTCCCTGTCTTTCTAAAAGGCCTAAAAGACATTTATAAACAGGCACAGCTAATGACTAAGAAAAAAAGTCTTTCATACCGATTTTCTAATGACCCTGATCTAAGAGGTGTTGATGTAGATGTCAAAGAGGGAATTGTTCGGGTGACAGCTATTCCACTTCCTGCTGCAGTCTTAATTGATCCTCTACCTGGATTACCAAGAACTTTTCGAAATGGAATATCATCTTTAGTTTCCAAACTTCCTCTTTTTGAAGGTGTCTGTAGGAATAAAGTTTAACATAGCTAAGTATTCAAATTAATTGGCATGCTTTTAGATCATATTCTCACATGGAAAACTTTTTAAATTTTTTTAAAGTTTATTTCTTTTGGGGGGGGAGGGGGAGTGTCGCACAAGTGGCGGAGGAGCAGAGAAAGAGAGACAGAATCTGAAGCAGGCTCCAGGCTCTGAGTGGTCAGCACAGAGCCCTATGTGGGGCTTGAACTTACAAAGCGTGAGATCATGACCTGAGCTGAAGTCAAACGCTTAACCGATGAGCCACCCAGGCACCCCTCATATGGAAAATTTTTATGAAAATAATTCACAACTAGAAACCCATCTCCAGATAGTCTAGCCTAATTGGCTTGGAGTGAGGCGCATTCACCAGTAGGCTTTTTTGAAGCACTCTAGCTGATTCTAATGTGGAGTCTGCATCAGAAATTGAACTTGACACTCATTTTCTTCTAGCACTCCCATCAACTTAAAATTTCCGCACTATAACTGGAGGCAGAAAGGAATTTGCTTTGAATACCGGACTTAAAAAAAAAAGACTCAGATACATAAGATGTGATTCTAGTGATTAGCATGAAAATAAATCTTCAGAGAAAAACATTCAATGATTATGATCATGTGACATAAGTATGAGAAAAAGAAGCAATGATGATATTTCATTGCCATAACTTAAATACCAAGTCACAAATGCCTCATATGACTTTTGAGGGGTTCTAGTCTGGAGGAATCAATGAAACAAATACATCATGATGGGGAGAATGAGAGTGAGACAGAGTCCACTGGCAGAAGATCACTCGAAGAGTCTACCCTAAAAATATAGCAAGAACATTCAAAGTGAATACAACAATTTAAACATCTTAGTTGGGAAGTAGTGCTTTTGGCCGGCATTCTGCCAGATAAGTTTTACAACTAGATTAAAAGCAATGTAATTTCTCTATGGAAGAAATTTCTAATTTTTTTCTTTCTACAGAATTACATACAGTCTTAGGATAGGAAAGAAAAAAATCTCTGAGATCATCTGAATGAACAATTTTAAAAAGTTAGAATTTATTTTCAAATGGGTGATATATTCTTTTTAAAAAAATTTTTTTTTTCAACGTTTATTTATTTTTGGGACAGAGAGAGACAGAGCATGAACGGGGGAGGGGCAGAGAGAGAGGGAGACACAGAATCAGAAACAGGCTCCAGGCTCCGAGCCATCAGCCCAGAGCCCGACGCAGGGCTCGAACTCACGGACCGCGAGATCGTGACCTGGCTGAAGTCGGACGCTTAACCGACTGCGCCACCCAGGCGCCCCTAAATGGGTGATATATTCTTAAGACTCAAAAATCAAAATACTAATATAAAAGCCATACACTAAGAAGTCTCATTATCATCCACTGCCATCCATCCAGTTCTTCCACTTGCCATTCTCTTATCCTCTATAAGTATTCTTCTTTATGTAAATGCAAACCAACTTCATTCTTTTTGTTACACAAATGGTAGTATACTATACAGTATACATATGTATACTGTTTTGCATTTTTTAACCCTTTTGACCATGATCTCGACTTAGAAATATTTTACATCATAAACTATTATACATACATAAAATGACAATAGAAATTTCAGAAATCAATACTTATCCTTACTATGTATAATACTTCCTCTATTATTTTCTATTTTGTTCCTTTTTTATTTAATGCTAGTTATGACCCATAAAATTGATTTTACAATCCCACTGACAGGAATCATTACTTGTGAGAGTATAAATATTTGTTTCTGCTACATATGTTAACATTTACATATTTAAGTATTCTAACAGTTTAAATTTCTATCTATACATGAATCTCCAAATAATTATGCTAAATGAAAAAGACAAAAAATATATACACTGATTCCACTTATATAAATTCCACTGTCATCTACAGTGACAAAAAACAAACCAGTTGTGGTTTAGGGGATAGATGCCAGAGAGAAATCAGGAAGGAAGGATTACCAAGAGGGATGAGGAAACTTTTAAGGGTTATGGCTTATGTTCACTTGGTTGATTATGGTGATGATTTTATAGGTATATACCTAAGTCAAAACGTGTCAAATTGTACACCTCAAATATGTGCATTTATAGCATGTCAATCATATTTCAATTAAAATGTAAAGAAAAAAACCACCCATAACCTATTAAAAAAACTAACAAAAATAAAATCTCACTGCTTAGTCCAGCAAATGGACTAAGTAATCACCTCTCCCAGCCAAACAGAACTCATCAATTTACTTACAGAATAGTTCAAAGCTTTTCTTTATGTCTGGTTTCCATTTATGAGATAAATTTTAAAAGACATAGGACTCCTAAGTTGTAATAGTACACAGCAAGACTCATGGCTATCTGAATGTTTATGAAAGAAAAACTACTTAAAAAGTAAATAGAGAACCTCAACAAAGCAGGTTGGTATCATATAGTATAGGGGAAAAGTTCATAATGCAGAACAGACTCAAAGGACGTCACAGAAGTAATAGCAACAAATATTTATAGGATTGTTAGTATATGGTACCATGAGCTAAGCACTTTTACAGGACTATCTCACAGCAACCCTTAAAATATTACTTCTGTCTCAATTTTACCAATGGAGAGTAAGGTTCAGGATACTCAAGGAACTTCTCCAATGACCCAGGACTAGTAAGCAGCAGCACCAAATCTCAAACCTACATCTAATACCAAAGCTATGTTTGTAAAAACTACTCTTTGGGACACCTGGGTGGCTCAACTGGTTGAGTGTCCAATTCTTGATCTCAGCTCAGGTCTTGGCCTCAAGGTCGTGAGTTTGAGCCCTACATTGGGCTCTACGCTGGACCCAGCCTACTTAAAAAAAATACATATATATTAAAAAAAAAAATACACTTTACTGTGGTTCATGATGGCCATGAGACACAGAGCATAGGTCACAGTGGGTTCAGTAAAACTACATGTAAGAAGGGGAATTTGTGATAAATTATGGAAAAAACTTGCATAATAATAGTTGATTTTAACTTTTTTTAAAAGCTAGAAAAGTCAAATGAACATACCTGATTGTCTGAGTAAGAAAGCTGCCTGTTGGTTTCCTTCTGTGAGGTCCTGCTGCCCAGAATAGCTCCAAAACTACCAGACCCCTGAGGTTTCATGGCTGGTGGGGGAAAAATAAATGAGTAAATCCCAAGTCATTTACTTTAATAAAGAGATTTACCATTATTACAGAATACTGAAAAAAAAAAA